AATATTAAATTATAGTTTGTTTTTGTTTAAATTTGTCTGCAAGCTAGTAATGTTAATTAAGTTGTTATTAATGTACTTAAATGTGCCGTTCAATGAACCCTGGTCTTTTATTAATCCTGATCTCTGGCAGTATTAAATCCAGTTTCAATGCAACGTCTAGGCGTCTAGACGGTCTGTATTAGGTTAGCGCAAAAAGAAATCACAAGTCCACATGCGTAACATTCAAGAGAACTCTAATCGTTTTAGTAAATATATTGATGATTTTTTGTATGGTTGCTTCTGGAATTTAAAGCTTTGGAAATATAAATTTAGGGCTACTTTTCTTTGAAATATTGTTGAACCGTGTGGTGAGGGCGAGTGATAATTCATCAATCATCCTATTTAATCAAGAAAAATGGGATATGCCAAAAAAGATCTTATGGCCTCCTTTAGGCGGTGTAACCAGTTTGTTAACGCCAGGCGAAAAATACCTAGACCGGTGACGAGGACCAGCGTCAAAGGTGCTCACCTTGGGTGCTGTGATCGTCAATGCGCGTTCCAAGCGTGATGATTAAAGCAAATCTTCCGCACAACAGGAAAGGCCTATTTCCAGCAGACTTCAACAGACTGATGAATAATGAGATTCAATTTCTTAGTACTCAAAGGAGATAATGTAATATTTTCCTTCTTTGTTTTGAAATGGGTACGGATTTAAAGGCTGCAAGCAGTCCTAACTCGATGATCACTTTTAGATTGTATAAAAGTGCTCTATCTCTAACATGTAAGCAGTTAAATACTTGTTAACATTTATTTGTGTGTTTGACTATTTTCTATATACATTTTTTTTGATATGCGGGTAATTTCTGGAACTCGACAACAGCTCCACCTATAGCTCCAATTGTGAATCTAACTTAAACACAAAAAAAAATTCATCTGAATCTGTCGAGTTTTAGCGAGACTAAGGGACTGCAGTTTATTTGTATGTCGAGAGACCCAGTTCATCCGATAGTAAGTACATGCTGTAGCGCATAGACATTTACCCTCGATTAAGAATCAAAATGCAGTGCGTTGTCACCCATGAGGTTTAAGATAGAATGCCTCGTTTCCAGTAAAAAGGGTCTCCGGTTCTATTTTATCCTGGTATACTGTGAGAGCGTGGACCTGATCGAGCCGACCCATTCGTGATACAACCGTAATATAGCTGCAGCCTGGCTCTACCACGTATATTTTAGTATATTATTTTTATATAAGTAATATGTAATTATATTAACCACTGTATTGCGTATATTTCTGTAAATATCCTAACAGGGTTGCTTAAAAGTTGAGACCTAGTTACATAACTGTTACTTTATTCCAAAATCAAAGCTTGGTGATTTTCCAAGCATACTTTTGTTACCCTCGGGATGTTACATCTCACAATCGAATAGTTTGTTATAATGACAATTGCCTTTTTTATATAAGTTCAGACAGGAAAATAATCATCTAGTAAAATAATTACACCGTATAGTTATATCTATATAAAAAATACACTTCACTAATTTTTATATTTATATTATATATACATTACCTTTTCGAATAGAAAAGCTTGACTTTTGCAATAACAGGAAGTGGACATGCATGAGAAGTAACAGCATTTATTACTATAAAGGGCACCCAATTATCTCTGCTCTAGTTCCCTTATACAAACGGCGTAGTGTTACAACAAAATGTGAAAGTATTCATGTCATTCCACTGCATAAAATGCAGGAAGCTTAGATATCTATCTACTGTACCGTCGGCGTCGATGTTTACAAGTTTTCTTGGCACGTGCCCACACACTATTAGGTTGGGCGCAGAACGATTTACAGTTTCGGTTGATCTAATTACATGCAAACTTCGCGCCGAAGTAGGTTTCCCTTCGCCTAGTATACGAGTATAAATACGCGGAAGTGCTGAAAGTGTTGAATGGAGTTCGTGTATTGGTTACGCTAGACGGTATTTGTAAGAAATACTCGATTGAATGTTGCAGTAAACTATACTGTGAAGAGATAAACGAATTCACAGTCCTCCTTGTATACCACCAATTGTAAGTGGCTACACCAGGCCATAGACAGCTGCAGCCAACTTCAGATAAGCTACAGATGGCGCACTGAGCACCTCTGAGGACTAAGATGAAATGCCTAATAGTCTGTAATGATACACCCTTTAGACTATAATATATACATATATACATACATAAATACATAAACACTCACGCCTGTCAGAGGGGCAGGCAGAGACTACGGACTTCCATTTGGCACGATCCTGACATACCTCTTTCGCCTCCTTTACATCCATATATCTACGCATACATGCTTGAGACTAATATTGCGAGTTTTATGTCTATATCCAGTCCCCCAGTGACAATGGGTGCTGCAAAGCGCTCGAAACGACAAGAATTAAAAATAAGTTAAAAATAAAACGCAGTTTAAATATTTAGATACATTTTTCGTTGCGGTTGTTATTTATTCACTTGTTAGAAGTTTTGTTTATTTCCTTTGTCAATGAAAGTATCTAAAATATTAAAATGTATGTACTCCGTTGAATATGTTTATTTACGTTGTCCGTGCTGCCACAAATGTTGAATAGTCCAAGGATCCATCGCCCATTTTTGCACGTGATTACTATCGAGCTAATTTTCCGTGAGTAGCTTTATTTTGATGAGACGCCAATAATTTCCTGTACGAAACTCTCGATTGTGGTAGCTAACAGAACTAGCAAGAATAAAATATGTTGATTTGATGATTCTCAAATATTTATTACTAACTGAATTTTTTTTTGTTAAATTTCAAGATAATTATCTAAATTATTCGAAAAAATATTTGTCCTACAAAATCTATGGTTTGATCAAAGAGTCCCCTCTATCCAATATGTATCGATACGAGGTCTCATAATGATTACTAACCAACTGATTTTTTTTTTGTTTTTACTTAGTTAATATTTATATAATTTAACAGACATATTGTCCTACAAATTGCGTGGTACGTTATCCCGGTCCTACGCTCAAAAGTAGTAGTACAGATCCTTGATGTAAAAATAATTACTATCAAGCTGAATCTTCGTGAATAGCTTCGTTTCGATGAGTCGCCCAACAATTTCCTATGCGAAAATTCTCAATTGTGGTAGCTAACAGAGGTAGTAAAAAATTTGTGTCGCTTGGGTTTCTGTATTTTGCTACTACAGCTGAGTCACACCGGTACGGCGGTACGCATGCGCAGAGCATTGCTTACTCCGTATTAGGTATCCCACGTTAGTGTCGACCATAAGCCTGCAAACATTTTCTCAGTCGACCACGTATTTTATTTTGTCTTGAGAAATTATTTCAAGAAATGTTTTTTGTGCTGGAAAATAATTATGGAGTATTTTTTGTGTAATTTGTTTTGTGAAAACCCTACTTTTTGAGAGAAAAGAGAAAAAGGTCTTTACTGTTTTACTTTTCGAGAGAAAAGAGAAAAAAGAGAGAAAGATGTCTTATGAAAGGTAAGTCGATCGAATATTTATTTACTTTATTTTTAAAATTATTGAAAAATAATTTATTAAGTTCATATTTTCACGTAATTGTGTAAAATCGAGCATTAGCACTGTAACATTCTATTGTAGCATTGTATTATTGTTAAATTCTTTAAACAATAATTTTTGATAGTATATTATATTTTACATATTTTCTTATCTAATTTTTTGTCATTTAAATTTATATTTTTGTATCACTATTTGACTAAATATTAATTTAATATGGAATAATTTTTTCAATATCAATGATGCTATGTGATATTTATGTAGATACTGTATTTATTTGCATGTTTCTCAAATAAACAATTTTTAATTTTTTTTTTAATAATTTCTCATACACAGCACTGAGCCAGCTTCAACATCATCAGCGTCTCAATCTACTGGAATCATTGATTCCTCGATATCTTTAACGTCTGCTGAAAATGTAGAACCGGACCCATTGCCATGCACTTCACGTTTAGTTAATTAAATAATTTTTTTATTTGTTATATAATTATTTGTATTATATAATTTACTTAATTTTTTCATGTTATTACAGAGTCAGATATTACGAGTGAGGAAAGTGAAATAGAAGATGACAGCGATGTTAGTAGCGAAGATTTATCAGATGAATCTGATGAAGATTAACTTCTTTTTTTTATATATATAAATACATAAATTTTTGTACCAAGTTTATTAAAAAATAAAGTTATTTAAATTTTAAAAAAGCTTATTTTACTTCTCTTATTTTACAGATAGAAAAACGAAAAAATGACAATTCTTGTCGGACTAATAATACATACCTGTTTTCTTGTAGGACGATGTTTCATTTGGGCAGAGAACACACTAACCTATCATGTAATATTTTTGTCCTACAGTTAGTAATGAAAAAAATGGTCTTGTGGTATTAACAACTTCTGAGCGTAGGACCAGGATAAAGTACCACGCAATTTGTAGGACAATAGGTCTGTTAAATTATATAAATATTAACTAAGTAAAAACAAAAAAATCAGCTGGTTAGTAATCATTTATGATGACCTCGTTATCGATACATATTGGATAGAGAGGGGACTCTTTGATCAAACCATAGATTTTGTAGGACAAGTATTTTTTCGAATAATTTAGATAATTATCTTGAGATTTAACAAAAAAAAAATCAGTTAGTAATAAATATTTGAGAATCATCAAATCAACATATTTTATCCTTGCTACTTCTGTTAGCTACCACAATCGAGAATTTCGTACAGGAAATTATTGGGCGTCTCATCAAAATAAAGCTACTGACGGAAAATTAGCTTGAAAGTAATCACGTGCAAAAATGGGCGATGGATCCTGGACTAGAATGTATGTCAACATAAAAACGTCAAAGCGAGTAAACTCGAATTGCTTGTTTTTAAAATCATTCGAACATTTTAATCACTAAACATTTTTGTGGATTTTTGGGTAGTGTATTTTATTTATTAACTTACATAAGCACCGTATATGCCTCATTAATTTTACCATTTTTTTTACAGTTCTAACCAGCTGACAGAGCTACCGCGGGAAGTATGTCAAATGCCACTGCAAGTCCTGCTTGTGCCGGACAACTTGCTGGCTACACTGCCGAAGGAGATCGGCAAGATGAGCTCGCTGGCCGAGCTGGACGCGTCCAACAACAGACTGACGCAAGTCCCGATGACACTCGGCGATTGTGCTGGTCTTCGAGCGCTCGACCTTAGCAATAACCAGCTGGGATTATTACCGCTACGTAAGTGATTAATTATCCTTGCGTCTATATTGTTTAATATTAAATAGTAAATAATTACAACATTGTTTAGTTACCACGCTAAATAAATATTATTTCCGAAGTCGTACCAAATAACTTGGTTTAAGAGCAGGATGCCGACCCCATATAACTTCGGATAAGCTTTACTGAGATTCTACCTTCCTTTATCCAAAGTTATTTGGGAAGAGCTAAATAAATAATAATAATTATAATATTGTAAACAACCATAAAAATATTTAATTACCTGGCTAAACAAAATACAATATGTTGCTACAAAAATTTGTTATTATTTTTCCGTATATTTTATTGTCATGGATATGCTAGACTTTCCAGCACTGAACTGAAATAAATTAACGCGCCAGGTCTATCACATATCTTTTATATTTGTCCTGTGTCCGTTGGAATGGGCTCATAACATGGGAAATTCTCAAGTTAATAATGTTTAGTAATTATTGTGTGTGCGCAAACACAGATGCACTCTTTATTCTCTCACTATTATAGTCCAATGGAATAAAAGCGACAAGACAGGAGAGTGATAAGGCGCAGGCAAACAATGGAAGCATGGGAGTCCGCGCTGCTACTGGGAATTTCTTGATAGAAAAACCCAAGAACTGATGTTGGCCCAACCTGGAAACCCAAGACCACGTGATCAGCAGTCGTGCTTTCAACCACTATACCAACAAGGCTGTTAAAAAAAGTAATAAGTAATACTGTGATTCGACGTAAAATACCTAAACTAGCGACACCATAAGTGCGTCAACGTCTGGTACTGCGAATACCAAATTGTCCTTATATCGAGACGCCCTTATTCAGTTGTGGAATTTGGGATGTTGAATAATATAAATAATATGGCGTGAATTCATAATCTAACAAGATGAGATCGATCGGCCGACGGGAGGATCGGTGACGATAGTCAGAAATACGCAGGTGGTACTGCTGCAGCTGCTTGTAAAAATATATAATTACTGTTACGAGCTTGAGGTTCGTGACAATAAAAATTGCCGATAAAATTACCTAAATTAACACTTTAATTTACTTTACACAAATTAAAACTTAAAACACTAATAATTAAACACACTAATTCACTTTTTTCCGCTCCGAAGCTTCGCTTGTCTCGCCAAATCCAATACTATACAATATATACAAATTAGCAATGAAGCATCCGCAATATTCAAGTAAATGCGCGCAAGGCGACGAGTGTTCGAGTGTAGATTTTCTAGAAACTTAGTTCTTCGGATGGCGCTGTCGGTTGAAAGATTTGTGATGTCATTTTCTGCAAAGCTCCCCTCGCTCTCGTTCCTGACACTAGATGGCGCTGGTGTATGACGTTGACTTATTCACGCAACATTGCTAATTAGTCCGCATTGCATCTTTATGCTCAAAATATGTAGGTACCTGAGGCTTAATTTACACATATGTAAAAAGTGATAACATTGGCATGAATACAGGCAGGTTTATTTGGAGGCTTATTTGAGGATTATTACTCGCGATGAACGAAGGATAAATATAAGAGCAAATAGGATAGGAAGCAATGGTTGCATACAAAAGGCGGATATCAAAAAGATGAAAACGTCGCCACAGAAGGAGTATGTAAATGATGAGATTGAGATTCACACATAATATAAATATGACACTTATTACCACTATACTTTTTTTTATAGAATTAAGGTGACGAACGCGCATATAGTTCACCTGATGGTAAGTGGACGCTGTGACCCAAAGACATCAACATATATCCTCGATTAATAATCAAAATGCAGGTGCATTAACACCTGAGGACTAAAATGATATGCCTCCTTGCCAGTAAAAAGGGTGAAAGTGTGGTTCCTCCCCGGTCGAGCCGATCCACTCATGCTACAACATACCTGCAGCATATTATATTATACGCTATTACCCTTTTTGATAATTTTTTTAAGTTTCCATGTCGCGTAAAACATAATAGATAAGACATAACATAAAATAACATAAATTAAGTTAAGATTAAGCAAAAAGATTTATTTGCATCTGAGCCTACTTCGATCTTGCTGCTTCGGCTAAAGGGCGTTTATGAGTGAAATAAATACCTCTGTGTTTGAGCGTACATTTCGGGCACTTTGATACTACCTACGCCTTTTTTCCGAAAGATTTTTTAGAAACGACATATTCAAATTACGTTTATTATTATTTTTATTAAAACAAAAAATAAAACCGTTATATAAAAATAGATATAATTTATAACATGTAGGTAATTTAATAAAAAATATAAGGATTGTTGTTTATGTCGCACAAATGAGAGTATAGGGATTTCCAGAGTATCTTTTGTGGTATAATAAGCATAATAATATAATAAATACCTTCCTCAAAGAGTACATACTCAAAGAGTACTTTTCTGAATTGTGTGGGAAACGTTCATCAAGAGTAAAAAAAAGAATTATTGACGGCCTGGAGTCGACTCTACGACATCTCTGTAACTGATCGTTAACTGTGAAATAATTTAAAGTTAGATAGATAGATAAACACATAGATAGATAGACAGATAAAAGCGTTTATTTTTTTCTCCAATCACATACGTAAATTCAGTTATTAAACTAGATATACAAATCAAAGTATTATGAAAAAAAAAACATAAACTTAAATCTAAATGTACATGTGCATGTGTGTAGCAGTTTAACAAATGAGTCATAGCTCAGCGATTAATATTGCTCAGAGAGCAAACACTGATTTTCAACTATTACCCTCGAGATGGCGAGAAGAAAATGAGCACAATAGTACAATCGGAAAGAAATAAAGAAGAAACAATTTTTTGCACGTTAATATTATTGTAGTGTAAATATGTGTGAATGATGTGTCCTTTCAGCTCTACGATTTATATCTTGGGTTTAATTTATTAAAAAATTACGGAAAAGATGTGTAAAACTGCGTACCCAATTAAGCCTACCTTTTTCTAATTACACAAATGACTTAGCCAGCCATGATGAGTTAGTAAAAGAAAAAAAGAAAATGCTATAGTTTATAGCTGGTAAACGAAGTGTTTGGGAATACCTTGTTTTTGTTTATCTAGAAGATATGTTTTGAATTTATTTTTAAACTTGTAGTTGGTGTTATGATTTCTTATTGGCGGTGGGATGTTACTCCAACACTTCGTTGCCATATATATCGGAAACTGCGGTTTTATGTCTGTAATATAGGAGTGCTGATCTTATGGACCTCAATTGTTTTCCAGAATTTTGCTTAGCAAACTTTATCTTTGCATGCAAGTACTCTGGTTTTTTAAACTTAATAACACTAATGTAGCTCTCTACGTGAGTCCATATTGAGCATGGAAGCAATGTTTAGGAAGGAAGTAATGTGATTTCTGGGGGTTTACATTAAAACAGAACCGACAACATGCATTTCTGTATTGTCGTCATTTTAGTGTTCATTGTATTAGTCGCTTTGTTTTGCTGAAAATCCGAGGCCCGTAAACAACATCCCCGTAGTTGAGCCTAGACAAAACCAAGGACTCGCAAAGAGTAATGCGTGATGGTAAAAGTTATTAAGTTATGCAATAGGTGGAAAAGATTCATCAAAGACCAGATCCAAAAAGGAACAATTTACCTACCAGGCTTTCGTGTGCTTAACTGTAATCGGGTATAGGTACTTACATATTTTCATTTATTTCAACTGATGTAGGTCAATATGAATACAAGTTGTTACGTAGCGATACCATACGATGACTCGAGTAAAATATTGTATGGGCGCGGTGAAGGCGTGGCGAAAGCTTCGATGTTACTGCACCTTGTGTATTAGGAGACCTCGGAACAATTGGATTTACATTGCGAGTTAATCCAAATTAACTTTACTGTAGTCTCTCATCTTATAATACTTTTGTATTAGGCAGACGTTATTATTCCCTTTTCGGTAGATTAAGTTTCACTCCAAATTCACTCCGGACTTTGTAAGTTATATGTTATAAAATTAATTTTTTTTTTTATAGAAGAGGGGGGCAAACGAGCATGTGGCTCACCTGATGTTAAGTGACTACCGCCGCCCATGATCAACCGCAACACCAGGGGAATTGCAGGTGCGTTGCCGGCCCTTTAGAAAGGAGTAAGCTCTTTTCTTGAAGGTCCCCAGGTCGTATCGGTCCGGAAAAATCACCGGTGGTAAATTATTCCACACAGAGGTTGTACGCGGAAGAAAACTCCTTTTGAAACGTACAGTGGTGGACCGCCAAGCATCCAGATGGTGTGGATGCTATCGGGACGTTTGCCGTGTAGTGCGTTCACGAAATTTGGCGGCTGGGATTAATCCGAACAATTCCTCAGAGCACTCCCCGCGATAGATGCGATAAAATACGCAAAGAGATGCAACATCTCTTCGCAGCGCCAGTGAATCGAGCCGATCGGAAAGCACTCGGTCGTCGACGATTCGAGCCGCTCTGCGCTGGATGCGGTCAAGTGGAAGGAGCTGGTACTGGGGAGCCCCAGCCCAGAGATGGGAACAGTATTCCATGAGCGGCCGAACCTGCGCCTTGTAAAGTTGCAGGCGGTGTGCCGGCATGAAATACTGTCCCGCTCTGCTGAGCACGCCAAGCTTTTTAGAGGCCAATTTGGCCTTCCCTTCCAAGTGACCACGAAACTGCACGTCACTCGATATGTCGACGCCGAGGATTCCGATACTGGCTGAGGCAACAAGGGGAGTGCCTTGAAACTGAGGGGATACGACAAAGGGGTTCTTTTTAGCGGTTAACGCGCAAACTTGTGTCTTCTGGGGGTTAAACTGGACTAGATTTAGTCGCCCCCAATCCGAGACTCTGTCCAGCAGAGACTCGACTTCAGACACAAGTTTGTCCCGGCACTCAGAGACGTTTTCCCGAGAAATATTGGCTCGGCCGGTGTAAAGAGCATCACCAGTGTTGTCATCTGCATAGCAATGAATGCTACGGGTTTGCAACATATCATTGATATGCAGAAGAAACAGCGTTGGCGATAGCACGCAGCCCTGTGGAACACCAGCATTAATAAGCTTGCAATCGGAGCTTGCACCGTCTACAACGACCTTGATGCTCCGATCCGCAAGAAAACTGGTGATCCAATCGCACAATTTCTCGGGAAGCCCATAGGAAGGGAGCTTCGAAAGAAGCGCTTTGTGCCAAACCCGATCGAAGGCCTTCGCAATGTCCAAACTAAAGGCCAATGCCTCCCCCTTGGACTCTACTGCCTCCGCCCATCTGTGAGTTAGGTAGACCAGAAGATCACCAGCTGACCTACCACGGCGAAAACCGTATTGGCGGTCACTAATCAGCTGGTGATCCTCAAGGTACCTCATGAGCTGGCAGTTTACAATGGACTCCATTGTTTTGGAGAACAAGGAGGTAGTTGGACGGGTCTGAGCGGTCGCCTTTTTTAGGGATCGGGTGGACGAAAGCCGTCTTCCATGATTTTGGGACTACGCCTAGGGAGTAGGAGTACCGGAAAAGACGCGTTAAAACCGGTGCCAACTCTGGAGCACACGTCCTCAGCACAATTGGGGGGATTCCATCAGGCCCACTCGACTTATGGATGTCCAGGGAGAGGAGTGCTTTGCGAACCGAGCGCTGAGTTAACTGCACTTCCGGCATGGAGCACTCACACCGCGGGATGGTTGGCGGCGTACTCCCCCCGTCATCGAGAGTCGAGTTAGACGCAAAGAAAGAGCCTAGAAGATCGGCTTTCTCCTTTGCGGTGTAGGCCAGTGAGTCGTCCTCCCTGTGCAGAGATGGAAGAGATGGCTGACAGAAATTCCCCTGGACAGCCTTGGCGAGAGACCAGAATGCACGGGTTCCAGAAGGAAGACGAACTAGTCTCTCGCCAATTCTGCCTATGTGCTCTGACTTTGCCTTGGCAATGACTCTTTTGAAGGACCTAGAGGCGGAATTATACTTCTTTTTTAGAGCGCTGGTGTTTACATCCCTGGACGCTGATGCGTCAGCCCAGGCTCGGTAGCACTCCTGCTTATAGCATGATGCTATTTTACAGGAGCGACCAAACCATGGCTGAGATTTGCCTCCAATGGGCACCACAGAGGAAGGAATAAAAAGTTCCATACCCTGAAGTACCACATCAGCGACAGAATCCGCAACAACGTTGGGATCGTCCGGCGAGAAGCAAACCCGCCCCCAAGGGTAGGATGCAAAGAAAGACCGCATCCCATCCCAATCGGCTGACCTATAGTGCCAAACACGGCGGCAGCCTGCAGAATGCAACCGCGATTTCAGCGTGAGTGGCACCACACTCCGGACAAGACAATGGTCCGAGGAGCCTAAAGGGGCGTCGACGGAAATCTGATATCCGTCCGGGTGAGAGGTCAGCAGAAGGTCCAACAGGGAAGGTGCATGATCCTCCACATCTGGAATCCGCGTAGGCGAAGTAACCAGTTGTGTCAGACCATATGCCAAGGCAAAATCATGAACAGATCTCCCCGCATGATCGGTTAAACGTGAACCGAGCCATTCGGCGTGATGGGCGTTAAAGTCGCCGAGGATCACGATCTCTGCGGAGGGGATCTGCTGTAGCAACGAATCTGCAGCCATTTGGACGTGGTCGAAGAGTCGGTCTGTTTCGGCATTACCGCTATGGGACCTATAGAGGCACCCGTAGACGCGCGGATGGTCGTCGCTGTCTACGCGTAGCCAAAGGATGGACAGGTCCGAACCTTCAAGTCTGCCGAGGCGTCGAGAACAGATGTCCTCTCTGACGTAAACGCAAACTCCAGCCCGAGGCACAAAGGAGTGTTCCAGTTTGTACCCCGGGCAGAAGAGATACGAGACATCAGCCGGAGAGGACACCTGCGTCTCGGTCAGAAAGAGCAGAGCCGGCCTCGCCGTCTCGAGATGGTAGTGTACGGCGTTTAGGTTAAAGTCCCCTGATATTGCAGAAATTCACGGACAGCGTGGCAGGGGTCGCCTTGGTCTTGTTGCTCCGTTTGCCCCGAACAGTTTTAGTCTTGAGCGGAATATTGCCCCCCCCCAGAATACGCGGGGCAGCCTGAGCACCCACGCTCAGAAGTGGAGAAACATGGTCGTGGATGCTCAGCGAGGGATTCTCCAGGGGTGCTGGTACCCTCCTGGGGTAGTCTATCATTTAATTCCGCTACCATGTTGATGGGGGGGGGGGGGGTTTTGGGCCTCCGGCCACCTGCACTCACCAGACGAAACGCGGAAGCAGAGCTTCCACTTCACGCCGGTATTCTGTGAGGTCGTGGTACCACCCCGGTTTGAGCCGGCCCATACGTGCGACAGCAAAGCTGCCGCGTGGCTCTACCACTGTTAAAATTTGTTGAGAACTTGACTACACCAACATAATATTACATATTATTGCTTTATTATATACCAAAATGACTTGTATATTGTGAATATGAATAATTTTGGTATATAAATATAGAACTTGTTAATAACATGACTACAGCCCACCGATGGGATTCTAGCATAGCTACGAAAAATCAATCGTTCTAATCACACACACGCACACGCACACGCACACGCACACGCACACGCACACGCACACGCACACGCACACGCACGCACGCACGCACGCACGCACGCACTCACGCACTCACGCACACGAACACGCACACGCACACGCACACCCACACACCCGCACACCCGCACACCCGCACACCCGCACAGGCACACAAGCACGCACGCACGCACGCACGCACGAACGAACGAACACACACACACACACACGCACATACACACACACACACACACACACACACACACACACACACACACACACACACACACGCACGCACAGACACAAAAAATACGCACCAACGTTTATCTTATGTGTGTGCTCGTATTTCATGCGCTGCCATACCGTTCATCAGATTGCAGTAAAACTTTATCAACTTATTGCTTGCCCTTGCGCGAAGGTTATAGCTATAGTACAATTAACTTACCGTAGGTGGCTCGCGTATCGTATCGAGAAATTTGTTTGAAAGTCAATATTTTGATTCAATTTCAATGAATGTATCCATTCTTAAACAATATTAATATTCCAAATTCAAAACAATATTGCTACAATTATTTCTTCGGCTGCAACGCGCCGGGTACCAGCTAGTATAAAATAAAATAAAAAACATATTCATTTTTAAAACAATTGTCACTGCATGAATATTAATATTTAATAATATTTAACTTGCATTGGTTCCATCTTCCTTCTAGGGTTTGCCGTAAACACCGAGCTTGTTGTTCGGCTTTGTGTCTATATTGTTTCCTAAATCGCTTCATTCACTGTTAGTGGTATCGGTGTAAGAAATACCATCAACTCTTCATTCCCCCGGGATCGTAATAGTTGTATGTGGGGAACTCTATAAGTACTTCGATAGGTTTATATTTATCTCGGTTATGTCGGATTTATACTTACTAAATTGTGAAAAAAATGAGAGGTTTTGTGTGTCCGTGTTACAGAGATCACATACCTGCGACTCGAGCATCTAGACGTGAGCTGCAACTGCATATCTTCACTTCCTCTGGAACTCCGCAACATGACCACGCTAGTCACCCTTAACTTGGACAACAACCCTCTAGTATCTCCGCCCACCACAGTAAGTTCTATTGTATACTTTTAAACGGTCACCCTGAAATAAAAGTATACCAAAAAAAAATTGCTACGTGTCCGAAATATAGTAAAAACAATAGCAATATAATTTGATATTGAAATATAGGAATAAAAAGAAAAAAGTACCAAAATAAATTAATTAGATTAAACCAAAATAAGTGTGCACTACGAACACACACAATCCACCTGATGCTAAAAGTATGCTGTGGCCCATATACATCTACCCTCGTTAAGTATCAAAATGTAGAATGCGTTTTCAACCCTAAAGACTAAAACTGGTGGTAACAATCTCGAACTTAATCTCAAAGTTCACAATGTAAATATTTGTATGGGCCAGACATGTTTTAACATTGTAGGATTTGAATCTAAACTCGAAAATGTCTCCCAATACCGGTCTAAAATAGAATGTATTTGGTTTTTCAAGTAAAATGTAGGCACGTTTGACACTTTTGGGATGGGGAAAAAGCACTAAACTCGCTTGAATTCACGCTTAGATAAATAAAACTGGTGAAAGTAAGGCTAAAAATCCAATCGATTTAATTTTATAAAATTCATATGTATTTATATTGTTCGTTCATCGTAACTTGACGCGTAATCCGATTGGCAGCACTGTAATTTACAGTGTTGCATGTTTCAATGTGAATAGGATTCCCAAAATGTAGGGACAGGCATTATGGATATGGTACTAATGACTTTACTCATGTGTATAATGACCATACTCATGTTTTTAAGTGTCATAGTGTACTCTCTGAAATAATTCACATATCAATAGGAACATTCAGGATAAAATTCAGACATGTTTAAAAAGAATCACTTTATATAATTAAGATCAATAAGGTGTAAAGGGATCATATCTTCTTCAATGTCACTTGAATACTCACTGTCACTACCACTTTCATCACTGTCACTGCCAACCCACAGTAAAAAGCGATCACTTCCTTCATCTATTATTTTGTCTTTCCCTATGTACTCATCTTCAATTTTTATAACATGAGAGCACTCTTTTTTCCAAAGCTCTTCGCTTATTGAGCTAAACGTTTCTTTTACAAGTGATTCCACTTGATCAACTCTCTGGTCCACATTTTTTTCTGCGAACCGTCTCTTCGCAACACTCCATATTAGCTCAATTGGATTTAAATCCGCATGATATGGGGGCAGTCGTAAAACCTTGTGACCATGTGATTTTATTAATTCGTCAGCTTTATATATAGGATCTGGTTTTTTTTTTATTAATTCTTATAAAACATTTTTTGGCAAATTTGGTGAAAACAATAGTCCCTTGTTTTGAAGCCACTCTACCATGTCTATTTTGAGGCTTGCCATATAGGGCTTTTATTTATTTGTACAGTATGATATGGCGCATTGTCCATCACAATCACACAATTAGGTGATAGATTTGGTAAAACTTGTGTTTCCAGCCATTTTATAAAGTTATTGCTATTCATGTCGTCATGGTAGTCGGATGACTGTTTGTGACTTAAATAGCAATAACGCAATATTAATGAAGCCGTCTGTAGTTCCAGCGTGTGCAATTATCCATCGCCTACCCGTACCTGAATCTCTCACTAATAAACCTTCTTCAGAATCTGACTTGCAACATTTTTGCACCCCATATGAACAATGGATAAATGTTTCATCTATGTAGACAATAGTCCGCCCCTCTTCTCGGTATTTTTTAATTTCATTTAAGTAATTAAATCGCCACGCAGCTATATCTGTTCGTTCCACTAACATTTTTCGTTTTGATTGACATTTTTTGTATTTATATCCGAGTCGTTTTAATATTTTCCATAGTGTAGTACGCCCACCTTCAAATTTTATTTCATCTCGCAATTCGACAAGTAATTTGTTTAATGTAGGAATTTCTTTTCGTACAGCGTAAAATGACATAATTTTTTGTCGTATTGCACAAGCATCAAAATCATCGATTTTGATCTTCGTATCGCGATTTGATCGTTTTTTTCCTGGTGTTGATACTTTTGATGGACCGGGCACACTCAAGTTTGAAACAGAACTGGCCTCTCTTTCTTGTCTCAAAATTCGGGTTACAGTAGATTCGGATACATCTGTAATCAGTAAACAAATGCAATTTGATTTTCTTTGGTAGTAAATAAAATCAGAATAATTTAGTAACGTTAGTGACGTTACTAAAATACACATGTACGTTACTAATATATATACTTCTTTACATACAAATATTTTAATATCATTTACCGAATTACATACAGTTAATCTAAATCTTTGTAACTGGTCACCCCAAAAACATACCGGTCATGGCGGCAACTCGGGCACGAACTTGTTGCAATGGCACAATCAGCTTGTTTTCAGCCTTTTCTTTTTCACAAAAAGCATAAACTTGAAGAATAGTTTGCCTTTTAGCACTTTTAACTACTTTCGTCATTTTTAAAACTAAGATGAAATTATTAAAAAGCAAAAGAGCACACAGGTGGCAACCGATCAAACTAAAATAAAGATGGCGAGTGAGGAAGCAGTGCTACCAATCACTCACGCGTCAAGTTAAGATGAACGGACAATAAATCTGTTTGTATTATATAGATAATAATAATTATACTTTTTCATGTAAAACACCGCTATATTAATACGTTGATGAAAATTATTTCTAATAAAAAATACTTCTTAATTTTTCTTAACAACCCAAAAATAATGTTTATAAATTTGTGAGGCTAAGAAGTTTTCACTTCTGTGGATGCTGTGGCCCATAGACATCTAACCTAGCTTAAGAATCAAAGTGCAGATGCGTTGTCACCTGAAATAGTCTCCATTTCTCTATAATCGCCACGCGAAACTATATCTGTATAAAGTTGCTCTTCTCTGAGAATGTGGTCTTTCCATGGTCGAACCGACACTTATGCTACAATGTATAGTATACGTGGTAGAGCCATGCTGCAGCTATATTAATTGTATAGTTGGTGCACGAATGGGTCGGCACGACCGGGGAAGAACCACGCTCTCACAGAATAACAGCGTCAAATAGCAGCTTAATGCTGCTGTGTTTCGTATGGTGAGTGTAGAGAACTGGATACCCTTTTTTACTGGAAAAGAGGCATTCCATCTTATTCCTCAAGGTTGACAACGCATCTGCATTTTGATTCGCAAACGAGGATAGATGTCATCTACATCTATGGGCTACAGCATCTACTTACCATTAGGTGGTTACTCTTTATCTATCTATATATATATATATATATATATATATATATATATATATATATATATATATATATATATAGAATTAATAAATGTAAATTAAATATTATGATAGAATTAGGAGTGTATACTTCTCTTGATAGAAACTGTATTAGTCTAATTTCAAGATACGCCATAACGCCCAACACCGCTCAGGCGCTTTTTGTAATAAATAAAATTTTAATTTTTCACAATTGAATTAAAACAAATTTCCTCATTTTTTATTTTAAAATTAAGCGAGGTCTATAGTTCTATTATATTATAAACACAGAACCTTTACAAAATATCGTCTATTAAGCAAAGATACATTATTTACTAAGTTCCGTGAGTAAGCGCTTTTACCTCTTATCTCCTTTAATCTTTGAATACTCTTGAAAGTGCTGCAAAATTTTAAAGCGGTGTCTTTATTATTTGAGAGTGCTGTAGTTAAGGACCGCTTACGAGGTGCTGTTAACTACACAGTGAGGTATATTATTATAATTATTACTTTAATTATGTATGAGGAAGATGCTTAAAACATATCCTTCCGGCGCGAAAAAATCAGGCTCAGTAACGGTTTTCACCGAACTTTTTAACCAGCAACTAGTTTTTGCCTTAGACCAAAAAAGAAAGATGGAGTCCTGTGTACATTTCAACCACGCTCAACTTCTTGACACGCACACACGCACGTATCTTTCTTCCATTCTTTCTTTATCATCCCGCAAAAGTTCACTACTGGACACACATATGCACCTAAACCCATGTTTGTTTTAAATGATTTTATTATAGATGCATATGTGTACGTGAGTGCTTGTTCTTACAAGAAATTGGGCACGGTTTGGGTTTGGTTTTTGTGTCACTTAAACACTTTCTTTCTTTGCTGTTCTGTGATTTATGCTTAACATTCTATGTTACTTAATACTAAACTTCGGCAACAAAAAGTAATCAATTTATTATCAGACAATGTTAATCGTTCTTTCGGTCTGCCTACACGGTATTAAATGATTCGATACAATATTTTAAAAAACAAAAATTGCATATGCCTGTTTTCAGGTATGCATGCGCGGGCGCGTGCATATATTCAAATATCTAGAGAACATGGCAAACAAAGACTCTTTGCCGGCGCACAGAAGGGTGGATGAGACTAGGCGGTCAGCAAAGCACACATCTTATATCAACAACACACCAGTACAGAGCTCCGCACACCAGATTACCTCCGGCAACGCCACTATAGACTGCCTGAGGCATAAGCCGAGGCATGTTATCGACAGTGGTTACTGCACAGATGGAGTGGAAAAGAGATGGTCTAATGATGGTGAGTATTAACGTAGAGTAGAAGACATAATTCAGACTTAATGGGAATTTTATCTTACTAAGGCTTTACACGCACGTAATTTAAGTGTTTACGTACGGTTATAGCACTATAACTATAATAGATTGTTGTTCGAAATCAGTCAGAAGTTTGTTATTATCCATATTCAATTCGGATGGGGTGCTATTTCTTTAAAAAATAAGGTTGACAAACGAGCACATAGTGCGCATAATGGTAAGTGGATAACTGTGGCTAATAGACACTTTATATCTGTCGTTGGTAAAGAATCAATATTCACTCATTTTTTTTTTTTTTGTTCCGGTTTGGTCACCCCTGAGAATTAAGATGGAATGCTTTGTTACCAGTATGAAGAAACTCCGGTTCTCTAGTCGTATACGCTATATCGCCTCTATAGAAAATCAAATGTTAGCCAGCTTAGTATGCATTATTTGAAAGATTTGCTCATATTTATTACATACCAACATCGGCCTGGCTAGGGCTACTAAACAAATAACATAAGATCGGCAAATACATCTACAATTTCCATGGTGTTGCAGTTGTTCATGAGCGGCGGTAGTCACTTTCCATTAGGTGAGCCTCACGCTCGTTTGCTCCCTATCATATAAAAAAATCATACTGGTGTTTTTTATCACCGTCATCAGTCTATGAAATTCGATTATTGCGCTTTCCGCTATTAATCGATCGTCGGAGCCTTGACCTTTAATTAGCTTCGCCCACGCGCGCCGGTGAAATTAATATTTAGCCGAAAGGTTAGCATATTAAATAGTAAGTGTAAGGGAGAGCCTAGACTAAAATTAGATAATATTTGAATTCAAAATGTGGTGTTGATGACGTTCTTCTGATGTCACGGCAAAAGCCTCCGAATACTGTCGTAATTTACTACCTGTCCAGGAGATGTGATGCAAGTCCCTCACAAGTCACTCTATATAACGATATATTACAAACATTGAAGGTAGGCTCTGTTTCGTATATCGTCCCGTGGGTGTCGTAAAAGGCGACAGAGACAAACAAACCAGGATATGGGTTGCAGTCTGGCAGTGTCTTCCTAATAACAACTAGTAAATACAAAACTGCGGCTGCCAACCCAAATGCCAAGCGTGACAACTATGGAAAATTCCCGTTCTTATACTTACATTTATTAATTTGGCGTGTTTTTTTAAAATAAGTCATTATTTGTTGAAGCAAGTGATATATATATATATATATATATATATATATATATATATATATATATATATATATATATATATATATATATACATACATACTCGAAAACGACGTGATTTAGACATACTTACTTGAGCTGGATGTAATTCCTAGGCTCTTTAAATATAATAAAAATTTCCTAAATATTTGTGTAAAAATATATAATAAAATACCTAAAGAATTCAAATTATTAAGCGAAAGAATATATAAAAAACATTTGTATAATTGGTTAAAAAATGAATTCTTTTATGATTTATTATTTTTATATTGTCTATATTAGTTCATAATTAAATTGTAATAACCTTTTATACCGTGATTCTTGCAAATAAAGATTCATAATTTTTTTTATATACCCTGTTAGAGAATAGAATTTATGTTAATTCAGGGACTCATGTCGTTAGTATAACATATTATAATGGGATTAACATGTCCTTTCGACAAAAAAAAAAACATAAAAAAGGAAAAAGGAAAAAATAGTAGGCTCAACTAGACCACTAGCCAAACATTTGTATTTTGCTCAAACGAGTGGTATTAAAATTCAAAGCGCGTAGTGTATTAACCAGTTACTCTGACAACTGTATGATAAGAAAAAGACGTTTTATTCGTCTTAGTAATGATTGTCATAAATATAAAAAATATTAAACGGAATATAAAAAGAAATTAATTAGTCGAAAAATCCTAAAAAAACTAATTTATTATGTATATTATAGCGAATTATATCTTTAAAACATCCGTGGTTTATTTAAAAAGATGATTAATAAAAGTTCTAGTAAATTCACGTGTATGAGCTTCTGCATATTTAAACATATTTTTGATTATAGTTTGAACTCGTTACCTTTAAATTGCTCAAAAAACAACGTACAATTTTAGCGTACTTTAAGTGGCTTGATTGGGTGCAATTTTCTTATCAGGCATTTGACAATTTTAGACATTTATCTAAATTGGCATCAATGCGGAAAAATTTTTTTTGGCGAGCGTTTTCGTTTCAGATGCTCGAATACTTTTTTTATTTTTATACAAGCTTGTGCAGGACAGTAATTAGATTAGATGTTTTACTTTGTTCATCCCTAAATTTGATTTATTAGTTTAAGGTCAAATAACATCCTATATATTTTTAGTGTTGGGCACAGACTTCTCATTAGAAAGTTTTTGGGGCAGGAATAGTCTACATGTCCGTGACCATTCTTTCCTTCAAACAAAGTTTCCTCACGATGCTTTCCTTCCTTCAGCGTTGATCTAGTGGTGAGGCATTAAAATTGCGGTCAATTTATTGCGGACATTGTATTTGCGAATAAAGATCGATATCACATCGCTCACTTTGATATTCTAGGACAAGCTAATTAGAATTCGGAAATTGAATTATCATCATCATCATTACAATACATGACTAGTCTGCCACTGCTGAACTGAGGCCTTCTCCAAAGAAACTCATAAAGCACGGTCCTCAACCACCTGTATACGTCGACTTCTTAGATAACTTACCAGGTCATTTCCATCTAGTTAGTGGTGTGCCGCCTTATACTGAGGTTATCGGTTTGAGGCTGCCACCCGACAGCTTTTTCATTGCCACTTAATTTTACCTGTTTCTTACGTTATGTCGGTTACTCTAGTTCTAAATGAAAGCCAAAACTACTGCACCTTAAACTCTGGACAGACTGAGATCCAAGGAGGACTGAGGATTGTAGGTAAAAGTTTTTATCAAAATATTCCTAATATTTTTTACATCATGTAACATTTTGAAAAGCTAGTAAATTAAAAATAAAATATTTTTAATTTAAATTACTTACCTCTGAAAGTAGGATTTCATTTCAGGAATAAAGTGAAAAGATGAGATGAAGGCTATATTCAAGTGTATAAGTTTTGATTTTGATTAAATAGTATGTTAGTGGTAATGCTAAATGATTAGAGGTGAGAAATTGTGTGATAGAAGAAAATTGTGGCTTGCAAGATGTTGTGACCAGGATTAAGATAAAAATACTGAATTAATGGAGTCATTGAGAGATATTGTGTGCATACTGACAGATAGACCAATGGATGTTCATAAAAATAAATTTACAATTTCCTTATTATTTTCCGCATCAATAATAGTAAAAATGATAAAAATCATTTACAAACATGGTGATCAAAATGTCCTGTAATGCAAAAGGTAGGCAATCTCAAATCTATATTGCACCTCGCTGCTTTCGAGGTGTGATTGTTATCTCATGCTAAATAAATAATAATTAATTCGCAGCGGGCGGTGAGGCGGGGGGAGGGGGTGGTTCAGGGCGGTCAACCCCCAGCACGCCGTCTACACTCTCGCCGGGGGCCGCCTTGTCGAGAGCGCAGTCCCTGTCCAGTGAATCTCCGTTGGCGCCTTTGACGCCATTGCTCACTGGGTAAGTTATATAGAACTTTCAGTTTGGATGTGGACACATATTTAATAGAAGTAATAGCAATAGACACTGAGAAAAGTTATGAAAATGAAGTCAATATTTCGGGTGGCTATGAACTCAGGTCATTTTCAAGCTTATATTTCATGTAGTTTAAAAATATTGGTAGTATTTTCAGTACATAGATACATATTCGTGAAATTTTAAAGCAGTGGCTAATAAATACTGCTTTTTATAATATCAAAGAATTCTTTAACCATACATTATGATTTTCCTTTTCATTTTTCATTGATTTTGTTTAATTACGTGAGTTACTATAGATCCAGGATTTTGCGTGATTGTTCTGAATCGAATAAAAAGTTTTTTTTTCTAATTTTGTTATGTTCTAAAAACATAAATATAATAATTACAGCGGTAGTTACATACTGGTCTATTATGAGTTTATTTCTAATTTTAGTTCAGTTGTTCTAAACACATTTATTGTAAAGAATATTTTCGCATGCCACGAAAGGCAAAATATGTGGAAACAAATATTGTCTCTTTATCCATCCGTCTGTACTCATGTTTTTAGCGAAATAAATGATTTGATTTGTTTTGCATATTAATAGTTCTATAAAATTCGTAACTAGTGTTTCAGTTGAATATGTTTTTCCTTTTATCATTAGATGTTAGAAGTTAAAGTATACTAATAACTAAAGGAGCTAATTTTTATGTCTATTAGATTTAGTGAGTATAAAGAAACTCTTCACCAATTATCTAATAAGTAATTTAAACCAATGACGAATTGATATTTCGGGGGTGATATAGCTATTTCATTTATTAAGTAAATATTATTATATAAATCAACAAAATCGAAATGCTCTGAAGTACCGCTGATTTTCTTGCTAGTTGTTCTCTGGAGAGTTTTTCGAACTAGTGGCAAAAGGAAAAAAATTTGGATATAAAAAATATTCTGTTTTATTCTCAAGCTCTTCAAAACATGTTAGCAACAAATATAATAATATCATATATTATGTTAAAGTGTGTAAAGATATGGCGTGTTTGTCTTATAAACTCGCATAAACTGCTAAACTAATTTGGATTGGCACACAGATATTATACCGTCATTGAATACGTTTTACAAAAAAAAAAAGTTTATTGTGCGTAAATCTAGTTTATATGGTCACATACTTAGTTTACAAAGATTTCGCATTTTAGCCAAAAGCGTTGCATATGGGCGATGTTATTTATTTCAAATAAATTTCTAATAAAATATTCTCTGCATGCATATAGTTTGGTATGGTATTTAAATGGGTTATATATATATTTATATTATGTAACATGCTTGTTATGCAGTTATAGAGTGCAGGATATTTTAAAACCATTTTTAGTGGGTCATACAGTACAGGTAGAGAATAAGAAACAATTATACAACAACCCAAGCCTTTATTATGAAAAAATTGGTACAAAGTATCTATTTTATTTGGTTGTAGATCTTAGAATAGTGTAAATTATCTTTTTTAATTTCTTTTATTCCTCTTGCATTGGCTGAAACAGAGGTAAACAAAAATTAATGCCCGATTTCGTCATCGACATTATCACTTCCTTCGTCACATCTTTCTGTTTTTATTTTTCTCCATCCCTTTTTATATTAACCCCGGTGTTGTCCCTTTCAGCCTCCGTATATCACCTGAAGGGAACATTTCAAATGGCGACGATAAGACTAAATTAGCACATCAGCAAACCTACAGGTACATTGTCACTCATATGCACGACTCTCATGAACATAACGCACTATCTTGTATTTTTTATCTGTAATGACACTTAGGTGTGGGACACTAACAACTAATATTCTGTAGTTACTACAAATCATTATGCGATTGTTTTATATATGGGATACTTATTTACAAGTTTGTCTAGCTACATTATTAAGCTATGGGTGTTCATGAATTGTCTTTTCAGTTATTGTATCAGATTTGTGCTAACATATTTTACGTAATAAGAAACCAAAAGTGCTATTTGCAACTCGTCATATCTAAGTGTCATAAAAGCTTCCTAACAACGGCCAGGTTGCAAACATTCTAATTTTGGATAATATTTATTATTTATAAACATTAATATTGTAGAGTTATATATTTGCGTTTTTATTTGTATAGCTTGAGAATCTGAATGTTATCAATCTGGCTTTTTCCGTCAATATTAGTTAAATATGTAATTTAATTTTTAATCTCTCAATTTTCAGACAATACAAAGAAGCCTTAAGACAACAACGCCAGCAAGATATCTACCGACCCCGGACCGATCAACCCTCGCCAGAGCTCGATTCCTCTCCACAGTCCCAGAACCAAAGCCCAGTCCACTTCCAGAGAACATCCGCACCTCACTCCCCAGTAAACGGCTACAGTAACGTATCACCTAGTCTTTATAACCGATCCGTTTCATCAAACTCAACTACCTCCAACTCATCTAACACTTCACAAGTGCCAAACTCTCCCCTCCTTCACTCAACGCCCAGAAGATTTCAGAATCAAAATGGCAACAACGAGAAACAAGAAGAACAAAACAAGAGGCCAGTTCAAAAAGTAGTTCCTTCTAGAAATGTTAACAAAATGTATTCGTCCGTAAATGGGAATGTAGACTACAATGGGCGGGTTAACGGACAGATGGAAGCGTATATAAAGCCAACTTCACCGACAAAATCGCCTACAAATACGTTAGGGTATAATAGTATAGGAATGAAATCGAATATACCGAGACAGACTAATGCAGGCGAGGGCGCGAAACTATTAACAACAACGGTGTCCTACTTGAAAGGTGCGGCGCCGAAGCCGGCGGGCAAGATGGCGTGGAACAAGGACGCGCCTGTCGACAAATTAAGCTTCACCATGAAGAGGGAGTTCGATAAACAGAAGGAGGAGTCGGACCTACTGGAACAGTTGAGAACGGTAACATCTTTATTTATACAAAGTTTTTTTCTAGAATTTTAACTGTTGAAGGAATTTTAACTGGTGATTTCTTCGATCAACAATACCAACTAGATGTCGGATCGGCGCAAGAAATCCATCTCAGTACATAATAGTGCACATGAGACGTGAGCTCTGTTTCGTTTAGTTCACTTGAAACACAGCCAATGTAAACAGGTTTCACAATGCCACAATGTGTATTTAAAAGTTGCAAGAACAATGCCCGAAAAAGTAATTTAACGGCCGGAGTGTCTTACTTTCGGTAATTACATGTATAATATGTTATATTTTAAGCTCTAAGCTAACAAATAATATCATATTTGGAACAAAATTACCGATCAAAACCACCCCTACAAATGTTTTGCCAAGGTTGACCAATATACGGGCAAACATTTGTGAAACAGAACATAGACGCATGAAGTAGACTTGTATTGTAATATTTTTAATAATTTGTTACCAAAACTTTAAATAATGGTAATTGCTACTTTTGTCTTTGTTTGTGTAATTCCATTAGATACTTAGCTTTTTTATTTTAGCTTTCCTAGCAATTCGTTTAAGTATGCAGAATGGACCTCGATTGTCGCCAGAGAAAGAAGAGATGACTTTTATAAGCCAGCTAAGAAGTCGGTTATATGTTCGGATCACTTTGATAAGTCAGATATATCTGAAAATTCTAATCGACGTCGGTTGGTTAAAACAGCATTTTTTTAATTTTTTTTCTTGTTTTTTTTTTGTTTCCTGGAGGAGATGAACACAATCACGAAGTTACTTTACTCAAATCAGTAGTTGAAAAATTTATTGACGTGAGGTTACATTACATAATATGTAAAAAAGAAAGGGGATATATCAAAAATAAATCAAAACGACAATGGTACAACAAACTCAACTTATTTAAAGGAAATTCATTCATGTACGAACAACGGAAAAAATCTTTAATGTTAAATCGTTATCGTTAATCGTTATTTTGTAAATACTAGGAACAAACACAAGATAGTAGTAACACTTACTCGACTCCACGGTGATGTATACGCTTTTACAACAAAATTCTAGAAAATATACAAAATTTGACGTTATAATATTAAGGAATTTATGGATGATAATAACCCCTGGGAAGGGTGATCGCTATCAAGCTGTTTCTAATTTGTTTTGTGTTGTTAATTGTCCCGCGAGTTTCTTGTTGGTTCCTAACAGGACAGAGGTTTTTTTTTTAGGAACCAGTGGTAAAATAATAAAAAGTGACTTTCAATAAGTATTATTTAATCTATATTGAATAAAAAAGTTTGTTTCCGTTTCTGTTATAAATATTTTGATTTTCGATTTATTGATTGCACTGAAATGTACGTGAATATAAAGATGTGGAATTTAGTGATATTTTTATTTGTAACATACAGCTTACATTGACCTTTACATACATATGAAAAACAAAAAGCGTACTTGCAGTTTATTACTTTTTGTGTACTACACATAAAAACATTTATAAATAAAATAATCCTATTATACACAAAAACATAAAATAATTAGTATTTTATTTATTTATTGCTCTTTATTGTACACCAACACAAAGAAGTTTTTTTATAGGATAGGGTGACAAACGAACACACAGTTCACCTGATGGTAAGTGGTTGCTGTGGCCCATAGACATCTACATTTATCCTCGATTACGAATCAAAATGCAGATGCGTTGTCACCCTTGAGGAATAAGATGGAATGCCTCGTTTCCAGTAAAAAGGGTATCCGGTTCTCTACACTCATCATACGAAACACAGCAGCATTAAGCTACTATTTTACGCTGGTATTCTGTGAGAGCGTGGTTCTTCCCCGGTCGAGCCGACCCATTCGTGCTACAACTATATTACTAATATAATTGAATCATATATATATATATATATATATATATATATATATATATATATATATATATCCATAGATACATACATACTACGGACATATATACATACAAAAACTCAAATATTAGTTGGTATGTGGTTCTCCTAGTCCTTACGCAGTAATGTAGAAGTCAATGCATGAAAAAGTTGTCATACCATAATATTTCAATGTTTTATCATATTGTATAGGATAATTTGTTCTTATCTGTTCGTTTATTGTAAACAAGTACATATAAGAATAAATTGGATATGCTTCAAGAGCTCTGAGTATAGGGAAGTAAATACCGGAAGGTTCTCATGGCTTCTGAGGATGCCGGAGTAATCAACAATGGGAATTGACAATGTTCAGCGTCAAATGTGCAAAACATTGTCAATTGGCCTGTTAAACTTAGTTTTGCTGAAACGGCCCTAGTCCAGCTGTAGACTTTTACGGGCTAATGAAAAAAAAAAATAACATTTTGTCTTTCATTTCATGTAATTTAATCGTACGTTTACAGATAATCGAATCTCGGCTGAAGATGTCTCTACCGGAGCAGCTGGCGCCCGTGCTGGCGGACGGTGTGGTGCTGTGCCACCTCGCGAACCACGTGCGGCCGCGAGCCGTCGCCTACGTGCACGTGCTCTCGCACGCGCAGGTACTGCACCCCACTGTACTGCACTGCACTGCGCTGCTGCCGGACGCGTGATGTTGTGCCACCTCGCGAACCAAGTGCGGCCGCGAGCCGTCGCCTCCGTGCACGTGCCCTAGCCCGCGCAGGTACTGCACTGCACTGCACTGCACTGCACTGCACTGCGCTGCTGCCGGACGCGTGGTGCTGTGCCACCTCGCGAACCACGTGCGGCCGAGAGCCGTCGCCTCCGTGCACGTGCCCTTGCCCGCGCAGGTACTGCACTCCACTGTACTGCACTGCACTGCACTACGCTGCTGCCGGACGCGTGGTGCTATGCCACCTCGCGAACCACGTGCGGCCGCGAGCCGTCGCCTCCATGCACGTGCCCTCGCTCGCGCAGGTACTGCACTCCACTGTACTGCACGCGCTGCTGCCGGACGCGTGGTGCTGTGCCATCTCGCGAACCACGTGCGGCCGCGAGCCGTCCATTGCGTGCACTTGCCCTCACCCGCGCAGATACTGCACTCCACTGTACTGCACGCGCTGCTGCCGGACGCGTGGTGCTGTGCCAGCTCGCGAACCACGTGCGGCCGCGAGCCGTCGCCTCCGTGCACGTGCCCGCGCCCACGCATGTACTGCACTCCACTGTACTGCACGCACTGCTGCCGGACGCGTGGTGCTGTGCCAGCTCGCGAACCACGTGCGGCCGCGAGCCGTCCATTTCGTGCACTTGCCCTCACCCGCGCAGATACTGCACTCCACTGTACTGCACGCGCTGCTGCCGGACGCGTGGTGCTGTGCCACCTCACGAACCACGTACGGCCGTGAGCCGTCGCCTCCGTGCACGTGCCCTAGCCTGCGCCGGTACTGCACTCCACCGTACTGCACTTCACTGTGCTGCTGCCAGACGCGTGGTGCTGTGCCACCTCGCGAAACACGTGCGGCCGCAAGCCGTCGCCTCCGTGCACGTGCCCTCGTCTGCGCAGGTACTGCACTCCACCGTACTGCACTTCACTGCGCTGCTGTCAGACACGCGGTGCTGTGCCACCTCGCGAACCACGTGCGGCCGCAAGCCGTCGCCTCCGTGCACGTGCCCTCGTCCGCGCAGGTACTGCCCTCCACCGTACTGCACTTCATTGCGCTGCTGCCAGACACGTGGTGCTGTGCCACCTCGCGAACCACGTGCGGCCGCAAGGCGTCGCCTCCGTGCACGTGCCCTCGTCCGCGCAGGTACTGCACTCCACCGTACTGCACTTCACTGTGCTGCTGCCAGACACGTGGTGCTGTGCCACCTCGCGAACCTCGTGCGGCCGCGAGCCGTCGCCTCCGTGCACGTGCCCTCGTCCGCGCAGGTACTGCACTCCACCGTACTGCACTTCATTGCGCTGCTGCCAGACGCGAGGTGCTGTGCCACAACATACCACGTGCGGCCGCGAGCCGTCGTCTCCGTGCACGTGCCCTAGCCCGCGCTGGTACTGCACTTCACTGTGCTGCTGCCAGACGCGTGGTGCTGTGCCACCTCGCGAAACACGTGCGGCTGCGCGTAAAATAACTATTGTTTACTTTGTATTGTTTGTCATGTTAACCTGGCATAAGTTATTAGGTGATAAATAGATTAATAACAAACATTAGGAAAACGGTCCCTCGAAGCAAAGCAGTGGTCAACACTAGCGTTATTATTAATCAGTTAAATTCATCATCATCATTCATCATTACAGCCCTTCACAAGTCCACTGCTGAACATAGGCCTCCCCCAAGTAATGCCACAAAGCACGGTCCTGAGCCACCTGCATCCATCGACTTCCTGCATGTCTTACCAGATCGTCACTCCATCTAGTGGGGGGTCGCCCTACACTACGCCTACCGGTACGAGGCTGCCACTCGAGAACCTTTCTTCCCCATCGGTTATCGGTTCTTCGAGCTATATGGCCGGCCCATTGCCACTTCAGCTTACTAATCCGTTGGGCTATGTCGGTTACTCTGGTTTTACTGCGGATATCCTCATTTCTGAGTCTATCACGCAGAGAAACTCCGAGCATAGCCCTCTCCATAGCACGCTGAGCGACCTTAAGCGTCCTCATACGGCCAGCAGTGAAGGACCACGTCTCAGATCCGTAAGTCATCACTGGCAACACGCACTGGTTGTACAATCTAGTTTTTAGAGATTGAGGTATACCTGACGAAAAGATATGCCGTAATTTCCCGAACGCTGCCCAGCCGAGTTGAATCCGTCGATTGACCTCTCGGTCGAAGTTGGACTTACCTAGTCGGACTATTTGTCCCAGGTAAACGTATTCGTCAACAACTTCGAGCATAGTGCTCCCAACAACTACCGGCATAGGTGTGACATGGACATTGAACATGATCTTTGTTTTGTCCATGTTCATCTTAAGACCTATCCGTTGGGAGGTACTATTGAGGTCATTGAGCATAGTGCTTAAGTCCTCCAGCGATTCTGCCATAAGGACTATATCGTCGGCAAATCGAAGGTGAGTGATGTACTCGCCATTGATGTCAATACCGTATCCTTTCCAGTCCAGTATCTTGAAAACGTCTTCCAATGCAGCGGTGAAGAGTTTCGGGGATATAACGTCACCCTGTCTTACACCTCTCTGCAGTTGGATAGGTTTCGAGCTCTGGTTCTGTACTCGGATAGCCATCGTAGCCCTACTGTACAAACACTTCAGCACTTCGATATACCGACAGTCAACTTGGCACCGCTGAAGGGACTGTAGCACCGCCCAAATTTCGACGGAATCAAAGGCTTTCTCATAGTCCACATACGCCAGGCAAAGTGGCAGATTGTACTCTTCAGTCTTCTGTACAATCTGCCGCAGGGTATGTATGTGGTCTATGGTACTGAAGCCTTTTCGGAAACCGGCTTGTTCGGGAGGCTGGAAGTCGTCAAGTCTGCGTGCGAGACGATTCGTAATGACTCTCGAAAACAGCACGTAGACGCGGCTCAGAAGGGAAATCGGTCTGTAGTTCTTTAAGAGAGCGTTGTCGCCTTTCTTAAAGAACAAGACCACCGCACTTCTGCTCCACGCCTCTGGAGTAGTGCCACCATGGAGGACGGAATTGAAGAGCTTCTGAAGGACTTCAAGTACCGGTGTTCCACCCGCTTTCAGAAGCTCCGCTGTAATTCCATCCTCGCCTGGGGCCCTGCCGTTTTTAAGGTGCTGGAGAGCCATTCTAATCTCGCTTAGACTGACGTCCGGGATATCATCGGAATAGTGTCGGATAAGACTTGCTCTTGGATCGTTACTCACACTTGCGTGTGGCTCCAACGATGATGTGTACAGCTGCCCATAGAACCTCTCAATCTCACTCAAAATCTCAGGTGTCCCGGAAACGATGTTGCCACACTCAGTCTTCAGCCTTGACAGTTGGCTCTTTCTGGCAGACAGATCTCTGGCAAAGACTTTGGAGCCCTGGTTCCGCTCGATCGCTTCTTTAATACGAGAAGTATTAAAGTTGCGTAAGTCTCGCCGTATGCATTTGGAGATCTGTCTGTTCAGTTGCCTGTATGCTGTCAAATCTGTTGACGATTGCAGCCTCATCTCCCGTCTAACAGCCATGAGATTAAGAGTGTGATCGGAGAGTTTTTGTGTTCTTCGGCGGGTCTTGCAGAACTTAGCTCCGACCGCATGGACAGTTTCCACGAGCTTGTCGTTCATATCGTCCACTGCATTGCAGTCTTCTAGGCACTGGAAGCGGTTACGTAACTCGAGCTGAAAGGTTTCGGGATTCTGGATTAGAGCACGAGGGGGACGGAGCGTTGACTTCATTAGACGAGACCTCTCCAACTTAACGTTTAGGTTCAGTGTGCCTCTAACCATTCGGTGATCGCTGCCAGTTTTCACCCTTGCGATCACTGAGACATCACTGAACAGTTGGCGTCTGGTCGTCATAATGAAGTCAATCTCATTTTTTGTCGAACCGTCGGGGCTCGACCAGGTCCACTTCCTGTGGGGCCGCTTCTGGAAGAAAGAGTTCATCATAAAGAGTCCCTCTTTCTCCATAAAGTCGGCCAGCTGCTGGCCCCTTCGGTTCCGTTGCCCTACTCCAAATTTCCCTACCTTCAGCTCACCGCTTTCTCTTGTGCCCAGTTTTGCGTTGAAGTCTCCCATCAACACCGTGTAGTAGGTTTTGGAGGAATGTATGGCTCTGGAAATATCCTCATACATTTCCTCCACCTCCTCATCGGGATGTGCCGAGGTTGGTGCGTAAACCTGAATGACCTTCAGCGAATACCGTTTGGTGATTCTGAGTATCAGGTACGCGACCCTCGTCGACACACTCCCAATCTTTACAACGTTGTTGACGAGAGATTTGTGGACGATAAATCCGACACCTCCTTGGGACAGATGGTCTCCCTCCCGGTGATAGAACAAGTTGCCGGACTCGAGGATTGCCGTGTCCTCCCCCTCTCTTCGGACCTCGGATAATCCAATAATATGCCAGCGCAACTTGTCTACCTCTTCTTCCAGCTCCAGTATCTTCTCGTCAGTCCTCAGGGTGCGTGCGTTATATGTTGCCAGGTCGAGTCGTCGTAGGTGGCAACCGAACCTCCACCGGAGATTCTTAGCACCCCCTGCCCCGCCGTTACCATGGTCGCCACCGTAGCCAGGAATAGCGGGGCCGCCGGGGACTGGGGGCCGTCTGTTTGTGTATTTATTCATTGGGGGGTATTTGCCATAGTTGCCACGCTTGGCGAGCGGGTTGGCAACCGCAGTTTTTTATTACTTCACAGTTGTCATCAGGAAGACGCTGCTGCCCATCTCCTGCCTGTCTCCCTCTGTCGCCTCTTACGACACCCACGGGAAGATATGGGGTAGTGGATATTCTTAACCGCCACTACACGGCATCAGTTAAATTGGAGATCAAGAAAGGACATAATCCTCTTTTATAAATAAAACTGTGACGTTAGTATTTTTGATATATTTACAACTTAACAAATAAGGCACGTTGGTTTTTAAGTCACCGGATATTGGACTGTATTCCGCCAACATTTTGACGTCATTTTGTAGATTCACTGAAGGTCAACTGGCTGCTGCTGCTACAACTGCTTTTTTTTAATTAACCTATTTTTAAGACAACTAGCAAAAGTTTAGGTATTACTATAACACGTAAGTCACGGTCTTTTGAAAGGGGAATGGCAGGCTTGTATGGGAGTTTCGTACCGCTAATAAAATTTCGTGTTTTGAGATATTTTTGGTTTTAATTTTTTTATTAGTAATAGTATATAGTATATAGTTAGTAGTATATAGTTTTATTAGTAAGATAGACAAATCCCTTTTAAATTCTCAGATTTTTAGAATTTGGGAGATAAAATTTATTACCAGTTTTAATTTTTAAGATTATCTACATAGTCCATAGACTAATATATAATATTGTGAACTAGTGTTACATTTTTTTTATTTAACTGGGATTACGGCTTTGGGTTCTAGACCTTCTGAGCCTATCATTTCTTTCCTAATCTTCGTTTTTGTATATTTTTTTCATCACAATATGCTGATGCGTCACTTTTTGCGTCACAGTTTTTGGGAGATTATATCAACATCAAACCACTTGTTTCGTCGTTTTCTCTAATAGTTCACACGTGCAGACAATTCACAAAATCACATCACTTTTACGAATCAAAATCTACTTCAAATCATTATTCAAGCAACAAAACAGGAGCGACAAATTGTCGTCAACAATGCGTCGACGGCCAAAACCTGTCCTAGTATACCTATGTTACATATAGGCAAATAAACATTTGTTTTTGTGATAAAGTAAATATTCTATATTGCTTTTCGCTACTCTGCAGTGCTTTACTAACAGTTATTTTTTTATAGAACAAGGGTGACAGTCGAACAGACAGTCCACCTGATGGTTAGTGGATGCTGTGGCCCATGGACATCTACATTTATCCTCGATTTAGAATCAAAATTCAGTTGCGTTGTCACCTCTGAAGACTAGGATCGAATGCCTCGTTTCCAGTAAAAAAGGGTCTCCGGATCTCTACACTCACCATACGAAACACAGCAGTATTAAACTGCTATTTTACACTGGTATTCTGTGAGAGCGTGGTTCTTCCCCGGTCGAGCAGTCATTCGTGCTACAACTATATTATAGCTACAGCGTGGTTCTACCATTAAGTAGGTAGATTGAGATGAGGATCGGTATCTACTCAGCGTTGTGAATTAGGAGATACCTATATTCAGCAGCGGACTGCAACGTTTGATAATGATAAAGTTCTGATGGGGTTTTGAGTGTATAAAAAAATATTTTGTTTTTTAAGTTCATTTATTTTATTGTACTTATAATTAATGAGTTCTTAATAAAACATCATCTAAGAAGGGGGCAGGCCGGGTAATACCCTAATGGCAAGCATTGCTTAGGTACCAAATAATACTCATAACATGTGAGTAGCATCCCACTGCTCTTAAACCTACAATGCAGTTACAGCAATAACTTCTGATTGCGTCCCGCCCAATCATGTTTGTTTCTGCAACTATAAATACAAAGTTTTAGTGGAAAAATGGCGGGACTTAATTTTAGCATGAAGCAAGATTGGGTTTATTCTCTCTATACCATCTATTCTCTCTCGGGATAGTTCTAGTGTATATATTGCATGAAAGCGGAAATTTGTATATTGTGTGAATAAGTTGTAGAGGAAAAGGGCTCCTTGTTGTTAGTAAAACCCACCTCATGAGTGTCCCAGGTTTAGCTACATTTAAGAGTAATGCCTTTTGCATGGTAAGCGTTAACCGTATACCGTTGTGGGGAAACTGCGCAGAAATCCAAAATTATTTATATATATTATCACTCAAAACAAGATTATTAACAGTTACATCTTTATACATATTAGAATCATCTAAATTAGCATTGTCTAGTTTGAGATACTATGGGTACATACTAGAGATAATTTAAAACTAATTTTCTAAAATTAAAATGTAAATACATACAAAAACAAAACACAGAACAAACATCTATGTTCATCACACAAATGTTTATCCTTGGTGAGAATAAAACTCACAACCTTTAGCGCAGAAGCCATATTTAAGTAGTTTAAGGTAATCATGGTCATTAGATATTCCATGCAAGAAAGCCACTTAAAACACACCGCTTATACCAAAGGAAGTTTTCTCTGAAGAACAATAGTTTATTACACTGTTCCTTGTCTTTGTAAACCTCTAAAAAGTAAGTGGTAATATTCACTATGTCCAAGTTAGGTGATAAACTTTTCGATGTTATACTGCTATACAAACTGTCTGAAGGCCACTCAACAATATACGCCAAATCATTTTGTAGTATTTCATCTTCTATGTTTCTATTAAAATTATTATTTCTATCATAATCCTTAAGTCTGTAAAAAGAAAAGATTGCTTTAAACTTGGTAAATAAGCACAATTTTGACAAAAATGTATTTGTAAATAGTAAACAAACTAACCTCTGAATTAACTGTTCTTTCAACCCACTTAATTTTGCACCTCTTTTTCTTAGCTCCGCTTTTAAAGCACTGACATTCATTGACCCGTAACTCATATTGGCCATAATTAATCTCAGGAATTGCAATATATTCACAATGTTATTCTAAAAGAAATAAACACACGTAGCCCACCTACTATTAACAGTGATATTTGACATGTCGGAGACCCACTCTCGCCTCTAGCGGCGAATTCATACGCGATAGCCGTCATTGCGTTTAGTTTATGCTTATATTACGTTTATTTATTAAAATCTTTTTATTGATATTATTAACTAATCCCAAGTTCTAAAAATATAAAACTTACATGAAAATTAATGGCTTAGTTGCCTTAATATCTGGTATTAATTCTATAACAAAACAACGAAAAAAGTATGCGGTACTAAATCTGCCGTTCCCCTTTGATAAAATAGGCCAAATTAAGTGGACTCTTAACTAACGAGCATGTATGTTGTATACGTAGATATATGGATGTAAAAGATCGTGACAAATGGAAGGCCCGTAGCCTGTGCCTACCCCTTTTGGTGTCAGGCTTTAGAGTTTATCTATGTATGAATTTTAACATAGATAAAATAGGCTCAATTATTTTACAGTTATTATAAATGCATGTTTTTGTTTCAGCCTAAATTAACAATGGCGAGGTGTAGGAGAAACGTAGACAATTTCTTGGAAGCGTGTCGAAAAATTGGAGTAGAAGAGGTGAGTTGATATTTTGTAATAACTATTTTTATATTGATTGTGTAGTATTTTTTGTTGATGATGAATTAATATTTTCGCGGTCCCATTTTTTGATAAAGTGCTAAATTATCTTTGTTAAGTAATTTTTAATTAATTTTATATGACCATCTTATTTCGTATAGTAGTATATTAATCGCGAGTCAACGTCTTAACGTAAATTCAATACTTATTTTTGATTTTTTCAATATCGCTTGTCCATTCCGAGTGTTGCAGGGTCGCTAGATATCCTTTCGCGAGCAAACAGAATATTATTTGAAACTAAGAGTCGGGTGGCGTGTGTTGCAGGAGCTCATCTGTTCGCCCGCTGACATACTGATGTACTCGGAGCGAGAGGGAGACGCCAGTATCGTCCCTCTCGCTTGCACGGTCACCGCTCTCCTCACACACGCCACGCCGTACACCTCGCCAAAGGATATCCATACTGACCCGCGTTACCATAACTACGTCCAAACACACGAACTTGGACCTTACCAAGTCTCCGAAGCCGCCGAAGTGACCGAAGCAGAGGAGACTTCGACTGAAGTTAACCACTACCAAAGGCAGCTACAGAGATATTCAGATGATAGGTATATAAACAACTATAACAATATGTCCGATTACGCAAACAATTACACAATAGATGAGTCTGAAGAGTTTCATTTGAATTATGAAAACAATAATGATTCTGTAGAAAGCGTTAATTATTCGCCAGTGTATGGGACCAATGAGGGCTTAAGGAATAGAGCATCTTATTACCATAACAATAAAATTCAGTTTGTTACTCCATTTTGCAAAGAAAACGCTTTACTTAAGTGCGACAATTTTGAGATTTACGACACTGACGAAGTTGATTTTCCTTTGGATACAACTAATGAAGATCACGAAGTGCGTTACGACAGAGACAAATTGAGTTTAGTCTTACAGAATAACATCAACACAGAAATGACACCGTTGGTAGAAACGGATAAGGAACGAGAACATAGATTATTAGTCACGTGGTTATGCCTTGGGACATTCTTTGTGTCCGCCATTTTACTTATTATATTCCCATTGTAATGTTATCTTAAATTTTTGCCTTAAATGTAATGTAATGTTTGATGTTTGTTGTTCATTTGCTTTAGTTGTTATAAAAGATCGAGTAAAAGAATTTTGAATAAGCTATTTCGATGCCAATGAAAGTGAACTAACTTTTTGAGCAAAATATTTTTAAAGTTAGTCTTTTTTAAAGGTACCTTCTCGATATAATGATGCCTTACTTCAGTAAACTGTGATGCGTGGTCTGAAATATAATTTTGAGGCTGCTAGTTGTCGTCATTTACAAACTAATATTTGCAATGAGACTGAAAAATGGAATATATATTATGGAATATGAAAAAAGGAATTTTTATGCACTGAATGATTTTTTTTAATAAACTTCGTGATTCGATTCGAATATTTTTTGGTTTATGTACGTATATAAATATAATAAAACAGGAAAATTTTGCAACTAGTTCTTGCGGATTTTCAAAATGGTTTTCTATAATATGTATAGGCTATGATTTGGTTGTTTTTTTTTCTTATATTCCAGAGATCTCAGTGTTGTTGTGTTGTGGAGAGAATTTTCATTTATTATTAGAATTAGTTTTAATTATTTATGTTAATGGTTCAGACCAACAAAGAAAGACAGACGAAATGCTTTGTTACATATCAACTAACAAGAACCAAGCCGAAACAATGCTTTCCTTAATGTAAAAACGCACACTTATACAAAATGTACAAAAATGTATCTAAACTTATTTGAACAATATGGTTTTATGTGCATATGTGTGCGTTCAGCAGGGAACATTTGCGGGCTAATTTGAAAGAAAGAATAAAGATGTGAGTGTGTGTGTGTATTCATGTAGCATGATTTCTGCATAACTAGAAATGTACGCAGTGGACTATCTTTCTTTCTTGGTCTGATGTTAACGGTGAATTTATTTTAATTTTAAGGTGTACTTATTGTATAATTTAAATTAACTAAGTAGTACTTTTAGCAGCTTGCTATGCACTAATTGATTCATGTATATATAACCGTGAGACATTGATTTTTTCAATTTAGTACTTTAAGCAAGTCACTGCCTGAAACCTTTTAGTCATATTAAAGAGGAAGATTTCTATATTGAGGGAACCAACTAAGAACAGCAAAAACTAAAATGTAGTTGAGGATGTAGTGTAATAAGTATTGTATCAGATTTCGTGGTAACGAAATTGTCATAATCGTAATCATAAATGAAAGGGCAGTCTGCTGTTCTGTTTCTAGCAAACATTTATCGGTTTTTTTAACTTCAATTTATACACACTAATTCAATAAATTACGAAACATCTATTATATTACATATATTTAAAATCTGTGACCGTTTATTCACTACTTAACTCAGAGTACTATAAAGCCGAATCATATAAACTTGTGCATAAAGTATGAGGGAGAAATTTAAATATGATAGCGCAATACGTAACATAATGATATAATATTATACAAAATACCTTAGCGATTAAAATAAGTTTCTTATCAAATAAGAATATGCCTTAATCGTAACTTCATATCGTTATTGTATTCATAATGCAAAAATGTTAGTACTTTTAAACAGGGACTGTATTACAATAAAAGACACGAGTATGCGACTTTTGTACATCAGCGTAGTAGCGTAGTAAAACACGTGCCTAATGTATATGGTTTGTCTATTTCTATTTTAAATCTTATCACCATGTTTTAAGGTTAAATAGAGGACGTGCAATTAATTTGTTAAATATTCTAAAAAAAAAATCATTTAAAATCATTAAGCTACTACTAAGCCCCACAACTAAGTGACATCTTTAGTTAGGATTCTTGTCAAACCACAGTTTAAGCCAGAAACTATCAATAAAACCATTTTTTGTAATAAGACATGTTGTTTGCAATCAGTCCTTACCTCTAGTAGCAAGTATTGATATTTAGACTGTATTTTGAGGCTTTTTCCATTTAACAATTGGAACTATATATAAAAGACACGTATTTTATAATCTGTAAATTATTTAGTATACGTATAGTATAACTTAACGAAGCCAATCGATTAACGAACGATGCCAATACGACCAGTATATATTTGACAGTTTATATAATGATTTATAATAATATGCATTTACAATATTCAATCGTTGAGTGATTCAACTTTGCGAACGTACCATTGTGAAAAATATAGCTTATATTCTTGCCATAGTTAAGAATTATAAAAGCATTGTTTTTAAATTGTTATATCGATAAATTGTAATGCAATTATAAACGCTTATGGAATTGAATATAAATTATAAAATGAAACGAACCGTATCCCCATTTCTCAAGTTTTGATATGCCTTATGATTGAACTAATAAAACACTCGCTAAGTTAGGTCATTCCGTAAAAATAAGCATTCCAAAGACTTTTTTTTAAATATTTAAAGACATTATAATCTAATTGATGTGTGTATTTGCACCAATATGTACACTTTTAAAATAATATTTTGAATGTGTATTTTTTACTAGTTACGATTTATTTAGCACGGCGTGTCTACTTATTATCTAAATGGCGGTAGGTTTTTATAGTCTATAATTTTTTTTGGCCATGTACGAGCGTATATTCACGAAACTATATACTTTATTATTAAACACTAATTTCTAATGTGCAAAAATTTTGTATGATGAAAATGTAAATTTTTGTACATTAATATTTTTCAAATTTTATGGCTTTTTAAAAAGTAAATGTTTTTAAAGATTTTACTTTTGTAGCTGCCAAGAATTGTCATGTGTCTATAACGCATTTAATCTTCTTATCTAGTTTGCTTCATAATATTAACGTTATTTTGAGCTTTAAATTTTCAAGTACAATGCTAATATATAAGAATATAAAGAAATATTTAATATATATGATTTATGCTTACATAGAATATATTTAATTAATGGCTTGTGGTGCTTGGGTTTTGAATTAGTTTATGATCTGATTTTAATGCACTATTTTATTCACTATTTATTATATTTTCACGGCTATGCACTTCAATATTTTAAGGCAAATAAAATGCCTGCTTTTAAGTATGCGCAATTTTGATGGATATTAAACGAATTAAATGAAATTAGTATTCTTCCTGAAATAAGTCTGAATTACTTTTATTTCATTGTACACTTTTTTTTAAAAGTATTTATAATGTAAGGATGAGAAATACTAAAATAATGTAATTGAACCATATGCTTCCATTAAAATACACAATGAAATTAATGTTCAAGTCAAATGTGTTACTTACGTGACTTAGATCATATTTGTAAAATAAACATAAGTCATATAATATTCCCTAAAATAATTCCATTACAAGTTCTTGCCCATTTCTATTAAAAAAAATTTAAGTGCATTAAAATCAAATCATTGTCTGAATATGGCGATTTGATTTAAATAACTATTTAAGGATACATACTAATATTATTCGTTAGTTGATTTGGGCGAAATGTTTAATTTAGTTCAGTATTATTTTTGTCTCGGATTTAAATGCATTTGCTTAGTTAAGTATACATAGTGTACTTTATTGATTGTATTTTTTTTCTATCTTTGTTTCTGATGATTGTGTATATGGGTTTTTCGGATAACAGGTTGACGAATGTACTTTTTTGAATGTACTTACAATGTTTTTTCTCTTTTTAAATAAAATTCTTATCTATGTAAATTATGTTTCATTTTTCGCATATATTTTCATTAGAGTGTCAATGTAAATACAGAACCAAGGGAAATTCCACTGTTGCAAATTCCCGGAAGCCTCCATCCATCCAATATCTCAAACCGTGTAGTGGTGTCAGGGGGAAACTGAAAAGAAGATGGGCAGTTGCCTCTTCTTGAAAACAACTATAATAAATAATAAAAAAAATAAAGTGCGGTTGCCCACTCGCCTCCAAGTGTGACAACTTGGGGTCTTTTTTATGGGGGGAGGCTTATGATGATATATTTTGATGATAATGATATTTATTATTTGTTTTTGATCACCCGTAACAGCTCACACTGTAAGTGGTTCTTCCTTTGTTTTAAGGTAAATTCTTCTAAACATAGGGGTATACGAAGCAGCGAACATACAATTCTTGTAAAATTTTCCCATTTTCTCTTTGCTGGAGATATGTTGTTGCATTACTAGTCAGTGACGTTTAAGTACATGTTGATTATGTAAAAAAAATTGGTTGACCCTGCAGGCCATCCCTGGAACTTCCCGCTTATTTCAAATGTAAAGCGCTCCAAATTTCACCAAATAATGTTGCGAAATCTCGAAGTTATGTCAAAAAACGTTTATTTCAAATTCTTTCTCCTTCGATATCTCACCAACGAATGAACAACAGTTTTTCAAAATTTTTATTTTTGAGATTTCTCAAAATCTACACATCCGAATCAGTTCATATTATCACCAAATTTATTCACACACACACACACACACACACACACGCGCACGCGCGCGCGCGCGCACGCACGCACGCACGCACGCACGCACGCACGCGCACGCACGCACGCACGCACGCACGCACGCGCGCACGCACGCACGCACGCACGCACGCACACACGCACGCACGTACCGCACACACGCACACACGCACGCGCACACGCACTCACGCACAAACGAACACACGCACGCACGCACGCGTGCATACGTACATCCGTACGGGCGTTCATGTTAAATTAGTTAGAATAGCTTCCTGGGATCTCAATACGTCGAGATCTGATGTAAACTCGATTTATGAAAATCGGGGTGCAACCAATATATTTTCTATTTTACGCACACACGCACACACGCGCACACGCACACACGCACGCTCACACGCGCACACGCACGCGCACACGCGCACACGCACGCGCACACGCACACACGCACGCGCACACGCGCACACGCACACACGCACAAACGAACACACGCACACACGCACGCACGCACGCGTGCATACGTACATCCGTACGGGCGTTCATGTTAAATTAGTTAGAATAGCTTCCTGGGATCTCAAAACGTCGAGATCTGATGAAAACTCGATTTTCGAAAATCGGGGTGCAACCAATATCTTT